AGCACTGAGAACATGCCTAGGCCTGCCACGGTGCACGTCAACCTCTGGCACTATAGAGGAGTCCCGCACGTACCCAATACAGGTTTACACGTTTTGTGAGCCTCTTCGAGTGAACCTTCGTCTGCTGACCCAACATACACTGCGCCCATTGTGTTCACTGCAAGCGGACCGACCAGGCTGTACCTTTTCGCGATGCCTCGATACGCATAGACACATGATCCCTGCAGGCTTTAAACCTGCCGTAATCTCTGCAGTGCCTCCAAGGACATCGATTAAACTGCTGGTGTGCCTTCACATACGAAGAATTTCGTATAAGTCGCATGTTTCTTATAGAGCCCTCAAGCAACTCACCTTGGCACATTTGGATGACCAACACAGCGACTCTATGCACATCTACACAAGAGGATCCGCAACTTCATCCGCCTCAGCTGCAGCCCTCGTGATCCCTTAACTAGGTATTTCCTGACAGTACAAATTAGACAACAGGTCATCTTCGACAGCTGCAGAGCTTGTTGCTATACAGGAAGCCATAAAATTTGTGAGCGACAAAGCGCCGCGTAAATGGACGAATCTGTCAAATGCGAAATCAGCGCTTCAAGCAATCCAGTCTTGCTCAAGAAGAGGCCAATTTTACGCGTTAGTGTTAGGAATCGTCCAAGCATTTAACCTAACACACAGGAGGGGTCACTTGATTACATTAATGGATTCCGGGACACTGCTGCCTGGTTGGCAATGAAACAACTGATAGCAAAGCAACAGTGGCATAATAGAACGCTCCTATGTACGTCAAAGTACCGTTTTGGCGAAGTGACGTGAACACATTTTTGAGATCGCTCATGCGCGAATGCGCTGCCACTTACTGGTCACTGCTGGATCATCGGAACAAGCGTCTGCAGAAAACAGACCCCGATAAGACTTTCTGTCTTCCAGCTAAAATCAGTCAAAGACATGCTAATATACTGAACCTGATTCGCCTTGGCGTCGCCTTCACTCGCCACTACACCCATCTAGTCAGCCTGTTCTTATCCCCTGTGTAGAGTAGCAGGCTAGAGCAAACTAGCTCAGGCTGACCTCTCTGCCTTCTAATAAAATGATACTCACACTCAACTACCTGTCGGGCTGCCAGGCCTCTCTGGAATGCCCAAACAACCACTTGAGTCGCTGTACATCACGCCTTTCCGACCATCTTGCATGGCGAGTGCAATGGCCACTTGCCCGGACACTCGGGGATCTGTCGTCCAAATTAAAACGTAGTTGATGATTTAGCCCAGTGAATCCATAATGGAAACCACAAAAGCCTTGCCATCACGGTACGCAGCGGCGTCCACAAAGCTTGCCCTATCTAATCCTCAGAGATGTCCTTTAGAATGTTCGAAGCTTTTGCCTTGCATCGACCTGCGTTGTGTTCAGGACGCATGTTGCGGGCCAGCGGAGTGACGAAGATCATCTCCATAATTTCTCTGATGATTAGGGTGTTGCTAGCTAAGTTCTTGGTTGGGGCAAGTTTAATTTCCTCAAGATACAGCCTACCAGCTGATGTGGTTTAATGTCGATATATCTGGACCCACTTCTGAGCCTCGGCGATCTCCTCCACGGTGTTGTGTATGCCAAGCTGGAGGAGGTCCTCGGTGTGTGTTCTTACTGCGAGCCCAAGTGCTCGCTTGCTGAGTTTTCTTATGAGGGCATTCAGTTTGTCCTTCACTGATATGAGCCAGTTGTGCATGGCCACCATGTAGGTGAACTGACATAACCCAAAGGCATTGATCAGCCGAAGCAAGTGGTCCTCCTTGAGGCCTCTGCGTCGGTTCGTCACACTTTGCACAAGGCGAAGAGAATTCTTAATTTTGGCAATATTTGTGCGCAATGCAGTGCTGTTGCCAACACGCAATTCGATTAACATACCCAGGACCTTGATGGTGTCAATGCTGGGAATCGGGTCGCCACTCCGAGTGAACAGGTGAATGTCACTGTCGGAGACCGGCTTCGATCTCTTAGGTCTGTCCCATTTTTCTTTTCTATAAAGCAGTAGTTTGAATTTGGTCGGGACACATGTGAGCCTGGCGGGTAGCAGTTGCTGTTCTGTGACGTTCACTGCCTCTGGCATAGCACTTTCCACTTGCCCTTCACTACCACTTCTGCACCAGATCGTCTTGTCATCAGTGTAGACGGTATGGTTGATACCTTTAACTTGGGCCAGTTTCTTTGAGAGTCCGACTACACAGATGTTGAAAAGATTGAGTGATATGACAAAGCCTTGCGGTCTACGCCGTGGTCCTAGGAGTACTTCATGAGACACTAAGTCGCCAAACTACAGCTTCGCCTTCCTACCGGTCAGGAACGAATAGACGTAATTATACAGCCAGGAGCCCAGCTCGAGGTCGGCGACACTAGCTAGGATGTACTCGTGAAAAGCGTTGCCAAACGCCTTCTCGAGGTCAAGTCCGAGCAAGGCCCTGGTGTCCCTGGTAATGCTGTCGACGATCTGACGTCTGATCATCTTCATGGCGTCCTGTGTTGACCAGCCGGCTTGGAAGCCAATAATGTTGTGGATATAGACATTGTCGTCTTTGACATATCTGTTTAGTCTGTTGAGGACGACATGCTCGGCCACTTTCCTGACGCAGGACGTGAGAGATAGGTTGGAGGTTATTAACATTTGAAGCATTGCCTGCTTTGGGTATCAGGACAGTGTTGGCGGTTTTCTATTGTTCTGGGACGCTACCGTTTCTACACGTCTCGTTTGACGTTTTGGTGAGGTATTCGATCAAAAGGTGGTCGAGGTTCCACAGCATTTTATTTGTGATGCCATTGGTGTCCAGCGCTGACTTGCAATTGAGTGAGAAAATGGCTTGTCCGACCTCTCCCACGACAACGTCTGCGTGCAACTCTGAACGGGCTGGACCGAGGTACTCGGTAAACTGGACTTCCTTTTCCCCTAGCTTGACAGGCAGGTACTTCTCCATTCTCCATAAGCTTGGCAACCAGCTCGTTCCCGGTACAGCAACTGGTAGCATCGTGCAGGGACCTGCGAGCATGTGTCGCTGATTCGAACTTGTGCCGCCCTCGTTAAGCAAATGTTTCAGCAAGCCTCATTATTTGCCGTTGCGCATCTGGCCATCGATTGAGTCGCACACTTTGTCCCATTGCTGATTGCAGAGGGTACGAAAATGATCTTCTTCGAGTCAGCGCTCACGTTCACAAATCTTTCACGGTGTCAAAGTGGCAATGCGCTTCGGTCGGTTTTGTTCTCTTGCATTCATATTCGTAGCGCGAAACGAAAAGAAACGGAGACACACAGAAGTAACCCATTAACAAAATGAGCGCTAGACATCAACTGATTTTTTATTTAAAAGTTAAAAACCGTCGAACATTAGCGCATGCGCACAAGCTAACACTGAGGGGCGTTCTTATGTTTGTCACTTTACGCATGACCGCCCTGCATGTGGAAGATTGATTTTTAAATACTCAATCTTTTCTCTGAATAAGGCAAGTGATGCCACACTTTAGGTCACGCTGCTTCGTCTTTTGCGGTGTTAGAATACGTTAGCTTGTGATATTTCCTTGTTGTACGAGAACAGTCACATACAGCCTCAGGTGGGGAGGTGCGTAGCTAGTTTTTGATAGTGACACCTGAAGTGGCGGTATCAAATAATACTGCTTGGCCTGCATTAAGACACGCTTCTCAACCTATGGGCTCTTGGGCCAGCAGGCCTACACAGCTGAACTTATTTCACTAGAAAAGAGGAAACTTATCACAACTCTGCTATATTGTGAAAGCCGAGAAAGTGCATCGCAAGGGCACCCAATTATACTCGTGCGTAGAGTTCCCAGTGCTAATTTGTTAAACCATCAATGAAGCCACTGTTCGAGCTAATCATATAGGGTTTCCACAGCAAGAGCGGAATCTTGCTAGGCAAATTCTCCTAGTTGGTGTGCGACATGTGCGCTACTTCTCGCTGCGATTGATAGACTTCTTGCTTGTTACGGGCAATGTTACACGAGTCGTTTTAGTAGTTTTGTGAGGTTGATTTCTCTTTCTGGTGTAGATGCGTGAGGGAAATTATTTTCGTCGCTAAGACAGGCCCCCTCTCGCGCCACACTGGGGTCTGCTTTATGACTGTGAAATATTTTATTGAATTTAAATGAACTATTAGACTTGCCTCCCCCCCCCCCGGCGTTTCGGTTAAACTTAACAATGAAGGAATTTTTTTGACCATGCTAACCCGAGTTTGGGTTTCGCTAGCCTTGTTATATCCTGTAGTCTGCGCTTTGCGTGAGCGTGATCCCGCCACTTAATATATAGAAGTGCAGGATGAACTGGGCTTCAAGTGGCCGCACCTAAAAGAGCAGATGGTGTAGGTTCTCCAATTAGCTTGGTAGTTCATGTGAACAGCAAAAATGTTTCATCTGAGTCGGAAAAGTGATTATTTTGACATGTGTGCAATGTAGTGATGATTATTTAGAGCCACCTTGTGTAAAAAAGATGACCTCTCACTGAGCCTGTTCAACTAAACGACAGGACACATTTCTATACTTTCCACTATTTTAAAAGGAATTTTTAAATGAAATACTTCTATCAGGAGTAGTCAGACCTTCACGACTGACACATAACACGTGTGGGACCCCCAAATAAAAAAACCATACGAAACAACTCTGGCGCAGCAGATGCCATCACTAAGAAAGCAAAGAATCCTGTCACATAATCTAACGCACGACTTCAGAAACTTCAACCTACATGCAGCAATACCACGAAAGGAATGCAAAGTAATAGTCCAGCAGCAAAATGTTTGCATTCTACGTAGCATACCAGCGCGATGTTTTCGAAGCTTCAGTGGGCTTCTGCAGATCCCATTTCAAGGAGGGTGTCTGTTGAAGGATAAAGTTGATCAAACAATTTTTTCTTCGGCTTTGTAAATAGTGCTGCGAAGAAATATATGCAGTTGTGATTACGAGAATGTAGGTGTCTTTCATGAAAAATTGCCTCGTCAAATTTGTTTCAGTATTGGCCGCCACCAAGCACTATGCCTGTTCAAAGCAGGGTAAGTGTTTCATACTAAGACAAGCTATGTCATTATTGAGGTAGACAGAGTACATTGCTATGTCCTCAGTAGGCGTTTGGGGGTTTATTGGTACACAATTCGGATGATGAGTGGTATGGGACGATGATGCAAGACAGATCTTCTTTCACCCTCTTCGCTTCTGCTCATTCTCAGTCCGGTAGAAGCGCTGTCTAGCATTTCCCACCTCGCAGACGAAGCACGCTGCGCGTTCCATGCAGCGTCGCTTCCACTGAAAGGCTTCAGGCGAGCGACATGTGTGACCTCTGTCTTGCTTGAGCGTCTACCACTAGCTGCAAGGCGTACCATGTGCTAGTCGACTGCACTCAGGTGGTCAAGTACAACAAAAAGTCCAATGTAGTGTGCGAGCAGTTTTCGGTACAAACCACGCTTGCGCTAAGGCTTCCACACAAACACGAGATCTTCTGCATTATACGTGGTCTGCCGGTGTTTCCTGTAATAACGAACTTAAGATCGGTCTTGCGAGGCTATTGCGCGTAAACGGGTAAAATGGTGGCCTTCCTCAGCGAGACAAAGAGTTTCTGCTACAGAGATTTCTGCTTTGTGCTGAGGAGAAAAATAAATATTGTATCCAAAGTAAAACGGAGAGGGGGGGGGGGGTCCAACATAGAAGAAGAGGAATGGGCTGTAGCCTGTGGTCGCAAGTTGTGCAGTATTAAATGCCTGTGTGATGAACGGTAAGACATCGTCGAACTTATTATGATGAAGCAACGTACAGAAAGTTTGAATTGTTGCCTCGGTGAGACCGTTCGTCTGTTGGTAATAAGGCGTCGAGCGCCTGAGTTCCGAGTCACATGTACGGAGAAGTTGTTCGACAATGACTGCCGTGAATTGACATTCATGGTCACTTATGAAAACGCGGGGAGGTCCATGACGCAGTATGATAGAAGGGAGAAGGAGGGATGACACTTGACCAGCAGTCGCGGATGGCAGGGCAGCCATCTCACAATACCGAGTAAGATGCTCAGCACATACCGCAATATATCTATTGCCTTTCGATGAACGCGGAAGAGAGCCTACCAGATCATGCCAATTTGTTACAACGGAAAACTGGGAGGCGTCACAGGCTGTAGATCTCCGGTGAGACCGAGTGAGAGATTTGTGCGCCTGGAATTGGGTACAACTGGCCGCGCACAACTCGACTGACTGGTGCATGCGTGGCCAGTAGAAGCGCTTCTTTGTACGATAAAGAATGCGCGTCATCCCCATGTGTGCGATGTGGTGTCATCATGCATGGCGCGCAGAACAGATGAACGCAGTACCTCTGTACCCACAAGTAGGAAGCGGCCACTGGTGTCGGAGATGGATTTCCCGTACAGCAAAATATCGCGAATACAAAAGTGGCCTTGCGGATTGGATGCATTTGCGATCACGAATAATGGATTCAAGTTCACGTCCTTCCGCAGCTCCGTTTCAAAGGTGGATTTAGCCGGGAACGTTGATGTCACGAACGCAATCAAATGATCAAACTGTCAGTGTCGCTAACTGTGGCATGAAGCGGCATGCTCAAAGTGCACTGTGGGACCACGTGTTGCCTGCCACGCTTGTACGATATCGTGAATTTGCACTCTTTCAGACAAAGAGCCCAGCGTGCAAGACGGCTTGACAGATCCCGAAAGATTATAAGCCACCACAAAGAATGATGATCCGTAACTACTTGGAAAGGACGACCATACAAGTATAAGCGAAATTGCTGCACAGTGAATACGAGTGCGAGACATTCTTGCTTGGTCACTGTGTACTTGTGTTCCAGCTTACTTAATGTGCAACTAGCATGTGCGATCTTGTGCTCTATTTCAATAAATTTACTGTACCTGGACCACACCTTGCCAATGCCACTTGCGTAGCTGTAAACTTCAGTCGCCGCAAAAGGATCGAAGTGCCAAAAGATAGGCTGCGATTTGCGCAAGAACCTAATACAGACGCTGAGCCATGTTTGCTAGTATGCCTGCAGACGTTGCTTCTTTTTTTCTCATCAGCCTCTCCTCCTCATCATGGTCCAAACACGTCCATATTGGGTCGTATCTAACGGTGAAAAAGCGAATATACTTCAACTTAAGTTGATTGAAGGAAGTTTCAAAATCAGGAGTCTAGTCAAAACTAGCAACTTGGCGGAGAAGACATGTCAGAGAAAAGGCAATGAGATGATTAGGAGATGGTATATTGGGAAACATTCTAGGGTTACAAGTTACCTCCATAGAACGAGTTCACAGAATCGGCCACAAACAAAGCAATAAAACACGACATGTGATCATTACACTCTTTAACTTTGCCGAGAAAAGTAAGATTTTGTCAAGCTGTTTTAAGGTGACAAACACTCCGATTTCGTTAACGAAGGATTCTTAAAAGAAGGTATGCGATAGACGTGCCAAACTATGGCGTTCTGCAATAAACGACAGAGCAAAGGGGGAAAAGTATCATTGGTATTTGATAAACTGGTATTTGATAACCTGATATTTCATAAACTGGTATTTGATATACGGCAAAACGTTTATCTTGAGTGAACACGAGGGTCGAAGAATGGAACAAAACCAACGCCTTCCACAGGTGTTGACCGCGCATTTCATACTAACAGGTGACAACAAAGTGGTAACACTATCAGAGTTTTCTCGATGAATGTTTGCAGTGTAGTAAATAAGCACAGTTGCAGCCCATCAACCTCACCTTATAGTTATCACTGAAACTTTGATGGTACTCAGGATTCAGAAGTATTACCATCGTATTATCGGCTGATCCGCAAAGACAGAGAATCACGTGGCGGATGAGTGCTTGTTGCAATTAAACTTAACATTAAATTTACCGTTCTAGATTGCATAACTTGTCGTGAAAGCGTCTGGTGTAAACTTACCTTTTGCACCGACCTCCAAATGCTTCGGCCATGTACCTCGATGTCATGTACGATTACATTGCACAGCACACCAACTTGCATGCTAATATTATCATTATAGGGGATTTCAATTTATCTAGAATTATCTGCACTAAGCGTTCGCACGATAATACGCTTCTTTTTTCCATCTGAGTTGCCGAAACATTTCTTGATCGGTTTCCTCAACAAAGCGTTCCCATGTCAGAATATCTTCACGATTCTCCTACCAAATGAGGGCAACATCAGTGAGGTAAAAAACCATGCGTGATAGTTAGGAGGCAGCATCCCATTTGTTATAGTTGCTTATTCGTTTGTAATGCTTGAGCTATGCGTGCATGACATCGTTGGCCTTCCTGGAAAAGGTTCGTGGCTCTTTGTGATTGATTGATTGATTGATATGTGGCGTTTAACGTCCGAAAACCACCATATAATTATGAGAGACGCCGTAGTGGCAGGCTCCGAAAATTTCGACCACCTGGGATTCTTTAACCTGCGCCCAAATCTGAGCACATGGGCTTACAACATTTCCGCCTCCATCGGAAATGCGGCCGCTGCAGCCGCGATTCAAACCCGCGACCTGCGGGCCAGCAGCCGTATACCTTAGCCACTAGACCACCGCAGCGGGGCGTGGCTTTTTGTGATACGGCCAAGAACTGCTGGGGGCTAGTTCTCGAGCTTCTGTTTCATCAGGAATGATGGGCAATGAAGAGGCAGGCCGGTGAAGTGACGACTTCGGTGAAGTTCTAAGGGTAGCGGTCCCGTCACTGGTTATGCCCAGCACCTCCACGGTTCATTTACGTCGACAGTAGGCGGTTGGGGGTTTATTCGTACACGGTTGGGATGACATTTGGTTGGTTGGTTGGTTGTTCCTCACAGCCCTGGCACAACCCACTATCGAAGATAGGCCATGAAAATGATGGTGCCTTATCAGTGAGATGAATTTGTCCAGCTGGGTTATTTAGATAAGGATCTTTAAACAAAGAACCAACTTGTAAATGATATAATAAAAGTAAAATAAATAGCGGTAATAAAAATACACACAAGCTAATATGGTGTAAAATAAAAAGATTTTATGCCTCAGCGTAGCATTTTATTAGTTTTGTTGCCTTTACAAATTCGCATACGGCGTCACTAACGTTCTTGTAGCTTAACCCCTTTTCAGTTGCTCAAAAAAAAAAAAACAACCACCAGAAGATATGAATTTAGAGCCAACCTATGGAGAGGTTCTTCTAACAGTCTCTTCGTTTGACTTCCTTTGATGACGAGCCGTACAGGACCAGGATGCAAGAAAGATCTTGTTCTACACACTTCGCTTCTTCTCCTTCTTCTTAGCTCAGCACATACGTGGTGGAACAATATTATTATTAGGGTTGTAAATACTGGTGCTAAAAAGATATAGAGTTGTGCTTATGCGCATATAGGTGTTTCTTATTAAAAATTGTCATCTCCTACTCGTTTCAGCCTTGGCTGCCATCAAGCCCAGTTCCTGGTCTAAGCGGAGTAAGTGTTTGATCCTAAAGAAAGCTATGTTAATAATTAGGGTGACAGAACGCAGACCTTGTCATCTACCTGACGCACAGTGCTAAACGATCTGGCAACAAATCACTGAAAGTCACACTGATATTTATTGTGTTTGACTAAGCGTACCTATAGTTTAATCATAAAACGCGAAAACTGAAATAAGTAACACGGCAGATGATGTGGCGAGAAATTCTGAATAACGGTCATTTGTGACACCATAGCGCGAAAAACTACCTAACTCGGCCAGCCCCAGGTGGAATCGTCATGTAAAAAGTATTGCTTTATATCCGTCTTATACAGACAAAGAAATTATGCGCAACCATCTTGGGCTACTGAACTAATAGATTGAGCTTGATCACTGCCATGGTTGTCGCGTTTCGGCTAAGGCGCAATGCTAGAGCTTGGTATAGCTTAAAATGCCACTGCACGTTCTGCAACACTACATGGACCAAAATTTTGCATCCTTCAACAAACGGTGGGCCTCATGTTGATAGTGTGGCCTTGGCACTTTATATGGGACATATTAGGCGATATTGAATGGAGAGGCCTTGACGATTTGGAAACCATGTATTCCAAAAAAAATCCGCCCCCCTCTTTTTTGGATTTGCTTTAGCCCACTTAAACTCAAACGCAATGAAGGGTCACTAGTTTAGCCTGAATTCTTCGATGGTATCCAGCAGTTATGCAACATAGCTACATGTTATGTATGATGCTGGTGCTTATTAGTGTGCTCTAAAGGTTATGACCTAAAGTGATTCACACTAATAATATATTAACAACTAGCTCAGCATAAACGTTTTTCGTAATCGTCATCTGCAGTTTTCACTTGTCTGGAGGTCTTTGGTCAACTTTATGAATACAACTTTACGGCGGCTCTTGCTCATTGCCAGACAAACTAATGCCTGGGTGCGCGGGAGATTAATGCCTCTCTCACTATTCTAAATCTTTGCCGCATGGAACAAATCTTTGATGGGGCACGGACGAAGCGGAGCGGTCGGCGCGAAGAGCCGCGGCTGACCGTGCTCGCAGGCAGGCAGGCAGGCAGGCAGGCAGGCAGGCAGGCAGGCAGGCAGGCAGGCAGGCACACACACACACAGAGGCAGGCAGGTAGGCAGGCAGGCAGGCAGGCAGGCAGGCAGGCAGGCAGGCAGGCAGATGGGTGGACGCAGGCGCGCATACAAGGAAGAAGGGACGGACGGACCCTTCACCCCACGCATCATCACTCCGTGGATATGCTGCGATTTTTTAAATATAAGTGGCTATGTACCATAAATTCGGCCTTGTTTTTAGCCCACTGTACCTTTATGGTTGTTTGTGCTCTATTAGAGCTGTACCGTGCCTACTGATATGATAGATCAGGACACACTGAGCGGCGAAGCCGAGTAAAAAAAGGAGGGACAGTAAAGGATAAAAATTACGCCATCTCCGGCTAAGGGAAACCAAATGTGAATGCGTGACAGTGGGTGCTAACGTTCACAATGGTCGACGCTGCATTAATCGCGGTGTTGGGCAGGGGAGAAATCTGGGGAGGGACAAAGCACGCCGTAATGAACCGGTGTTTTCAACTAGAACATGCCAATCGCTGCGAGTGAGCAATGACAGACAGAATACTCCGATTGCACAGAAAGACCCACGGCCCGCTTTTATTTACGTGCATGCTGCGAATTTTTATTGTTGAGAAAACTGCCAGATCCCACGTACAGTGGGAATCAGTGATATGCGAAGCACGAATGAAAAAAGGTTGATATGTCTTTTAAAATCAGCACAAAGTTACGAGGCGGAGGTAAATTATGCCGCATATGACTTCCATGTGATGATTATCAAGTTTGAACGTGTCATTTGCCTTCCTAATCTGCTCACGTCACCTGATACCAAATTTGGTATATGTGGAGCTAGAAAAATGGCCGCAAGCGCGCTATGAGCGCGGCGTGTAGTTCAGTTTTACATGACACGCATGCCATGATTATCATGTCATGACGTGTCATTTGCGTTCGTCGTCCATTCACGGCACGTGAAACCAAATTTGGTATATGGGTAACTAGTGAAACGACCGTGAGCACGGATTGAGCGTAGCGTGTAGTCATGCTTTACATGACATGCATATCATGATTTTCACGTTCAGGCATGTCATTTACCTTCGTCGTTTATTCACGTCATACAATACCAAACTTGGTATATGTGGAGCTAGCGAAACAGCCACGAGCACATCAAGAGCGCGACATGTGGTCATGTTGTTACAAGACACGCATCTCATAACTATTACATTTGCACCAGTCACATAGCTTCGTCGTACAATCACGTCCTGTAATACCAAACTTGGTATTCACCTTTAATAAACGCCTCCCTGGGCGCCGCCATAGCCCTCCTTGGGCTGTGCAGATTGGCGCGTCTCGTCGAAAATGCACTGACAACGCTGCGTCCTTAGCCTTTGTACTCCCGCGCACAGCCCATCATGGCGGTGTTTTTTTCCTTCCTGTGAAAAGGTGTATATGTGAAGCTAGCGAACTGGCGGCGAGCGAATGTAGCGTCGATGCGCGCGCGCGCTGGGCGCAGCGACGCTAGCTAGCAGAACTCGAGCACTCTATAGTCTGACGCTAGGTGCTACCAGAGCCTGTCGGCAAGGCCAGGCGGCAACTCGGGCGAAATGCGACATGCTGTATAACGGCCGGTTCACGCAAGCGGCAAGCGTGCCGTAACGCGCAGTGCCGTAAACCAGCGGCTGGCACCGCCCGCAGGGGAGCTGTTCGAATTGCACGGCAAGCTCCTCCGACAAATATGGCTGCCCTTCCGAAGGCAGTTGTTGACCGCCTTGAATCTATCAAGCGGCCGCCGTGCACTCTGTAGCTCGTAAGCTCCGAACTGATGCTCCTATTTGCTTTATACTCTTGTCTTTGGCTTCGGCAACACAGTGCTCGAATCAATTCGGCACCGTTTTTGAAAACCATACTCAAATAATTGATGTTCTAGGTCTAAGAAAGCCTTATCAAATCTCGGAGGGCACACATTACACATTTGTTTGTTGTTGCTAACGCTCAATAGCTGGCGCCACTTGTCCAAACGCCCACTTTGCGGATGTAAGTTTGAATTGCTGTGCGCTTTTTAAGTGTCGGACAGGCTTAAACGCTATATTCAGTGCTGAACCGTAGGCTGGCAACAACAGGTACGACATAGCACGAAAACCGCTGAGCAAGATGCAAGCAGCTCGAAGTGTCTCGTGGCAGACGCCGACGATGCGGACAGGCATAAAGCCGACGACGTGACTCAGCCATGCCGCTCCTGCGTTGCTGATTGGCTACGTCACCCTTCGGCGAACGGCAAGTGGCACGAAAATGATTGGAACGGCGTTGAACGGCAGAAGTGCGCGAAGGAAACAGCCGTGCACGGCTTACTGAGAACGTCAAACGTCAAACGGCGAGGCATGCTTGCCGCTGGCGTGAACCAGCCCTTACGCGCCGACGATGTTACCCAGACAGCACCGCGTCTGCCTAGCGGAGCGATGCCGGTCGCGCTCAAACGCGTATGCGTCAAATAGACGCAGCGCAGCGAGCATATGCGAGGCAGATCAGCGCCTGGCGTGGCGTTGCCGGCGTGAATCGACGAAACGAACGCCAGCGCAAATACGCGCTGGGTCGCGTCGAAGTGTATTGACGCCCAGAGTGTGGCATGTAGTCTTGTTGCTACATGAGACGCATGTCATCATTATCATATTTGGACATGTCATTTACATATGTCATCCGTTCGCGTGGCGTAATACCGAATTTGGTACACGTGAACCTGGCGAAACGGCCACGAGCGCATTATGAGCGTAGCATGTAGTCATGTTGTTACATGACACGCACATAGAGAAATAAAGGTTAAGAGTGGACACCCCCGTAGACCCCAGCGGCCCAATCGACCCTAGCACACCTAGTGGTTGGTGAGGCAAGTGGCGTGCGCTTCCTGTTTCGGTTTCGCTGGCGCAAATTTTGAAATACTTTGCATAACCGACGTTTGACTATGACGAAAGTTCATGATTTCAGACCACTATTCATCGCCCAAATGGATAGTTTATGTAGGTCGTTTTGATTTAGCGATTCCCTGTTTTGTTTTGTTCAGTGGTTCGTGCGAATCGGTCGCGACATAATTTTTATTTCGATTAAGTTATAATAAAAAGAGATGCAGGTAATAATAATTAACTACGGTTTTATTCATCGCGCTTGTGTTTTTCTTTTGGAACGAGTGATCAATGTATTTATCAGTCAAAGAGACAGAGTATCCGTAATGTTTTATTCAAAGGCAAGGTAGAGTCTGAGAATATAAAAAGCACAATATGACAAAGGTAGACAACAAATGCATCTCGCCTTACAAATAAATCGTAACAAATACAGAGAGAACACAGACAACGCACACATCGCTAGAGTTGGCAGAAGCCGAGAAGCTGGTGAAGTATGACACACTGGGCCAGTGGGTAAGTAAGGATCTATGGCAAAAACACAGCGCACAATGCCGATGAAGAAGGAAGAAGTGACATATACACAGCAATGAAGTCGCGAATCACGCCTGGGGTTAACCGAAATAATGCATATAAAAAAGAGCACACAGAAACCACACGACACAATATAGCAGAAAGGCAAAGGTGCAGTGTGCTGGCTGTGCTTAAGAACAGCTAGTCCAAAATGAAAAAAAGCAGACTTTATGCCTGCTTGTCCTCAGAAAGATAGGGCTTTGCAGCTTGCTCACTACGTGAAAGACAAACTTTATGCTACAACACTGGCAGGTTTTGTGGCTTTTGTTATGCGCCACCTTCATCAAAAACTTAAGATCCCAAGTGATTTGCGTCTGGGTGTTGGTGTGACGCTTGCGAGCTAAAATAGATTGTAGTCATCACTTATCCAGAATTGTGGACCTTAATTGGTGCTACGAGAGCGGTATTACAGGGCTAATAAATAGCAGAAAGAAACCACTTTGGCTCATTATTTTTCACAAAGGCTCTACATCGA